CTAGTACCACTGCTACTACCACCACCACCACCACCACCACCACCACTACTACTGCTACTACTGCTGTTACTACTACTCCTCCTCCTCCTGCTGCTGCTACAGTAGTGACAGCCATCCTCCTTCTCCTGATCTTTCTGTCGATACATGACTGAACTGCCACAAGCAATCCGGAATCCGATGCACAAAGAACGCCTCGGAGCGGGAAGGAAAGTTGCAGCCAACTCCCGCACTCGGGGTTTGTTCGACATCAAGGTCCTATTTTGAGAGAGCCTAGTGTAATAATGTTCTTGTTATCTGACGCTTCTGCCTGAAAAATCCTTCCCCACCCTTTTGCACACACCTGAGACTCATGAAACAACTCGTTCCGGCCGTTCGCCTTGAACTTCTTGGGCGCTCCGCCACCTGCGATGCTCTGGGATGTGGCCAGATGCAGCCTGAAAATACCCAACTCCAGTTCGAAAAAGATCCCCTGTAGCGTGGTGTACGTTGTATACGACATTGACAGAACACAGTATATGGACAAGATGAAAGAATGAAACGAAGTGTCGTAGCAACAGAGCCGCATGTGGTATGCAGCTATATGTCGACATGCACGTGTCTATAGATAGTTCGTTTCACAGGACAGGTAACGCCCCTACATAACCCCAAGGGTCCCTTTAGAGGTTTCTCCTTTAGTCCCTGGAAGATGGAGCCTGAAGCTGCACTCATCCGGCAACAGGGTTCCCTGGCGGCAAAGCTGAGCGGTCGCTTCCGAGGATGGCATCCTGTAAGCCTTTGTAGGTTCATGCAGTGAACATTATATTATATTATATTATATTATATTATATTATATTATATTATATTATATTATATTATATTATATTATATTATATTATATTATATTATAGTATATCATATTATATTATTATTTTTAGGTTCATGCAGTGCCCTAAGGGTCCATGACGAAGGCATACCTCGGAAAAGGAGCTTCTTCGAATCAAGAACTACTAGTACCTATAGTTTGCAAGCAGTCTTGCCATATGGAGTATCGCCAAAACGGCCTACTTCAGACGAGCCATCACTGGGACATGAATAGGAGTGCGAAAGTGGCTCATGCTCACCACTGCACCCGTAACCTTCCACAACTTCTCAGCACCATGCGCGCCTGCCACTCTCCTTCTCGGCTCACTCCATCGGTGCTCCGCCAACCGAAAATAATGCCCGCGCTTGAGCTTCGCCCGGCCAGCACAAGCACAAGCCTATGGCAGCGGTCAACACCCTCGAACGCTCGGGCTTCACAACCCAGGGCCCTAAGCCCTAAACACAACACACTTGACCAGAAACCTGCATCAAAACCGCACCGTACCTAAACCTGGACAAAACCTTCAAATCCGAAAGCCGCAAATCCCTCAGAACCAAGCTCAAGTCCTAAGCAAAGGTCGAAACCTGCCGCAAGACTTGCCGAACAGCCCCTAGCGACAACACTAAACCATGCAGCCCAATCCCAAGCCAGCAAGCCCCCGCACCAGAATCCTAGGATGCCAGAGCGAGTGATGTCCACGAAGGAAGCCAGATCAGGCAAAACAATCAATATAACCATGGGCTAGGATCTGAAATTGCAGGCACCCTTGGCATCACGAACATGCCGTGGCCTTCTGTGGCCTGGGCGCAGCAGTGGCGCTCCAAAGTGCCCGATGCCCGGAAAGGTCCAGGAGCCCTGCGAAGAGACGCAAAGCTGCGAAGCTCTGAGGTCTCAAAAAACTCTTCGGGCTTTGAGATGTCGAGAGGTATTATAACGGCATGGGGCAAGGCTGTAACGGGAACCGGGGATGGCGCTTGTGCTTGTAAGAACAGCTACAGCCGCCAAGGCAACCTTGGGGCTTGTGGACACTTCACATTAGCCAGACAGATGAGTTGTAGGGGGAAGACTGCACTTTCGGTTGCCGCCTGTTTTATCGGACTGCGTCACATTCTCTGACACCTCTGCCTCTTCCAGCTTGTACCTAGGCGTCAGGTGTTGAAATTCACAGCTTGTAGCAACGGAATAAAGCGGTCCTCCACACAAGCAGTACACGCCTCACTGCTAAAGATGCCATTGATGCCATTTCACAGCGAGTATGAGTAAATGTCGACGTGGGCCGGACCCTCGACATCAGCAAACAAGACAAGAGGGGCGCAGGAGGTCATGAATGTCCTTGTCGTTGAAGACCAGCCCCTGACCTCACGAGCACACCGGCCCTGCTTTGCCCAGCGAACCAAGACCCGGGAAGACCCCGGCAGCTGGGCAACGCGGTAGCTCGAAGCCTTCGCCCAGGTGGCTGCGCCTGGAGATCTCCGAGTTCGTCAAGGCTTCGGATTTCCCCTACCAGTGTAAGGCAGTGCAAGGCATGTTGCTTTTCCAAAGCGCTCTGCCAGTCTGTGGCTAAAGATCTGAGAGAGGAATTTGGGGCTCGCCTTCCAGACGATACTCAGGAGATCCCCCCCCGTCGAGTATCGCTTTGCCCCTCTGTCAACGCTTCATGGCTGACACATCTCGGGCAGGGCACGACCAAAAGGGACACGTCTGACTAAGAAACTTACTGTAGATGCTGAAGTGCAGTGCATCCTCGTCTGGCATTCTGCGCCGTCCATGTCTTTTGGGCAAGGCAACGTGCGGGTAGTCAGTCCCTGCAGGTCTGCACTACGTCATTTTGCAACCAGCGCTTTGCGCTGGTGGTCGGGACTTTAATCCTCCGGACGCCAAAGTCAGGTGCGAGTCTCAGGCACCAACCATCCCGAAGTTGAAGATGCGAACCTCGTGTCACTGAGAGACCAAGCAGCTGGGATATCAACCACCATCACCACTGCCGGACGACAGGGCTTCAACTTCGATTCGCATGGCTGGATCTGCAAATTGTGTTGTATTCATCCCTGGATATGATGCCTTGGACCAACCTGACCACTCTGTCGCACTTCCGCTCGAGATGACCGGACAGGACTTTTCGGATGCAAGAACTCCAAGATTCTCCGAAACCCTGAAGATCTGAATCATTCTGAAACATAACACCCCCAACTCCTCCGCACCCCTCAAAGAAGACTCGGCTTTCGCCAGGACACAGGAGCCAGCTTGCCAGAGGAGCCCCAAGCAGCCTGACAGGCTGGCAGATAGTCTGAGCTTCCTTTCCGAACAAGGTTTCCTCCTCCTCCTCCTTCTGTTCCTCCTCCTCCGTCTCCTCTGCTTCCGCCGACATCTATTCTCCTTGTCCTCTGGCTGTTGCGGTACTGCGCTACTGCAACTGCATTCCCTGGCGACTCAAGAACAACACAACGTCGAGGAAAACGACCATGACGGCAAGAATCTGTTAGAGCTTGGGGCCCCCAGCCGTGGTCCAGCTGCGGCTCATCAGGTTCATGAGGTCAGCGGGGCACACACTGCGGGCCATCTGGCGTGCGAGCATCAAAAGTGAGAGCACAGTTATGTTCAGATCACACTACCCATGCATAGATTAGTCATTAGTCTCACTCTCCGATGATGCCGACAGCGCGCAGCATGATGATGACGATGATGCTGATGATGACAATGATGATGACGACGACGAGGGGGATGATACGGCTGATGAAGCAAATTATGGTGATGACTATGATGATGAGGATGATGAGGATGATGAGGATGATGAGGATGATGAGGATGATGAGGATGATGATGATGATGATGAGGATGATGATGATGATGATCAGCATGATGCGAACACAGTTATTGTTCGGATCACACTACCCATAGATTCCTTTCACCCTCCGATGATTCCGAGCGAGTAGGATGATGATGATGATGATGACGACGACGAAGATGATGATGAAAATGATGATGAAGGCGATGATGGTGATGGTGATGCAGATGATAATGATGATGCTGATGATGCCGATGTTCAGCATAACGAGAGCACAGTTAATTTGCCCGGATCACACTACCCATGGATTCCTTTCGCCCTCCGATGAGCCGACAGCGAGTAGGATGATGCTGATGGTGATGGTGAGTCTTCGTACTATGCTGATGATGATGATGATGGTACTTGTGGTGCTGCTGATGATGATGATGATGATGACAACGTAGATGAAGACCACCACAGCAGGGACGGTGGCGAGGGCGCCGGGCATCAAAGCTTTAGTGCTGCCTACCCAGGAGCAAAATTCCCCCAAGTCCTCAAGCACCTCTGAAACTCACCTGAATTGCCAAGGACCCATCTTGCTTGTGGGGTACTGTAACTGCTTCAGGATTTAAAGCTGGCGTGCCTGAAGACTTCGCACAAGTACTTGCTCGCCGTCGGGATCCGTAGTGATCACCCACCGTCCGCCCTGAGCTCAATTCACAGATTTCGGGTTGCCGCTGCTTTCAAGGGAAGTTGCAGCTGTTCGCTCAGATCCTGGCCTCACGCGGGGTCCATACCAGGAAGACATTAGCCTCAGCTTGCGAGCTTCCGGTGTTTTCGGATGGTAGAACCCCAGCGCCTTAGACTAAGCCTCGAGATACTTTAAGACCAAGTAAACTTCGAAGCCATCGCAGCAGATTCCTGTGCTATCCGAAGCTTGGGAAGCGGCGTCCTTTTTCTTGTATACTGCGCGGTCATGACACTTACCTCGAGAGGCGTTGCCAGCGCGCTCAAAACCCAAGCTGTCCTTCAGGTGCATTCCTGATCGGGTCAGGGTCAAGGCCCTGAGCTGACTAATGGCCTCGAGTCTCCCAGGATTCTCTGAGGCGACGACGGTCCATGAGGGTGTAATCGCCGGTCGCCTCAACCGATCTGAAAGTCAAGCCCTCAACCATTCGACATGACACACTCAGCCAACTCTGAAGTATGCCTGCGAATCCCCGCGGAGCTTGACACACCCAACACTTCGACCCAGAACCATTCAGCAACACCCTACGCCAAACAATATGCCGACAAGCCGCGGAGGGGCAGGCTTCCGCTAGGATTGTCAGCTTGTTGAGCTGAGGCTGCACAGGCACCTAAGTGCAAATGCCCATGATTGCCCATGCCTTCGGATGCGGGGCCCATGCCTTCGGATGCTGGGCCCCGGGCAGTCGCTCTTGGCGTCTCCGGCTTTGTACTCTGAGATGGCGGTGCATTGCTTTCCGTGACTTCGCCACTCGGCATGTCCTTCGCCTCGAGGCGTGCCCTCTCCTCTGCTTCGCGGCATGCCTTCTCTTCCGTTTCCCTACATGCTTTCTCTTCCACTTCCTGAAGTACCTTCTCTTCTGCTTCCTTGCGTGCCTTCTCTTCCGCTTCCTGACATGCCTTCTCCTCCGCTTCCTTGCGTGCCTTTTCTTCTGCTTCTTTGCGTGCCTTCTCCTCCGCTTCCTTGCGTGCCTTCTCTTCTGCTTCCTTGCGTGCCTTCTCCTCCGCTTCCTTGCGTGCCTTCTCTTCCGCTTCTTTGCGCGCCTTCTCCTCCGCTTCCCGACGTGCACGCTCCTCAGCCTCTTCTTGAGCCTTCCGCGTTTCCTCAAGCTTTGCCATCTGCACCGCGACATTTTGCAAATTCTTCTCCTCAGAGCGCAACTTCTCTGCGGCTTTTGATGCTTTCTGCATCAATAGCTTCACTTGGCCTTCCTCCACAAAAGCAAGCGAGGAACACGACCTTGCATTCCGCACGGACAAGATCTCAGGGCCTCCTGGCACATGGTCTTTTCTGCAGCTGCCTGGCAAGAAAGGCGAACAAAAAGACCATGGCAGAAAGGTTCCTGAAGAGAGAAAAATTCGAATCCTCTTTGCCAGTTTTCCATGTCCCATATATTATGGCCATGGGCAAGTGACCGGCACCGAAGCCGTGCCTTGCGAACCAACAGCTCTTCCACGCAGCGGCGAGCATCGAGGAGCCGCCCGAGGGCCGACGAGAGGCCAGCATCCTGGCATGCAAAAGGCATTGCAGGACTCGGAAGAAGAAGAGATTTTTTGAAACAAGACCAAAAGGCACATTGAGTCCAATCATGCATTAAACAGCACAAATCTCCAAGAAGTGGCCTGTTGCGACTGCTTTTCGGAGTTACCGCATGCTCTCGCTCCGTTGTTTTCGAGCAGCGGCTCTTTGCCACATCGAGTAATGTGCCTATGCTCCACGACCAACGCATGAAGCTTTTCCCTCCCCACGGCAACCATACCCCGCTTGCTCACACGCGGCTCCTTGCAGTCCGGCTCCTTCGTGTTGCCTTCTGGCGACATAAATGTGGCAACCTGCGTGCGGAACACTCGACACTCCGAACTAAGACAGGTCTCGAACTAAGTGCCAAAGCTTCTGGAGACCCTCGTTTCTGCCGGAAGTGCAAAGGATGCCCCCCTGCTCTCTGCGGGCGCCTCCCCTGCATCCGTCTCAATGCGCAGTGCGAGACCGGCCACTTGATTGCTCAGATCCTGCAGCTCCTGCGAGGAGCGATTTAAAACAAAACGACGAAAATGGAAGGAGGAGGAGGAGGAGGAGGGCTGGGGTTGTTTGCCTGGTATCCTCGCAGCGATAGTCTGCATCGCAGTTCAAGCGAGCGCAGTCTTCACAAGGCTTGATTCACGGTTGATGAGACTGCGTGCTGCAAAGGACGCTGGTTCAATTCGGCTGGGGCTGCAGGCTTCAGCAAAGTCTCGGAAGCTTGCGCTACAGAACCTAAAACCATCCGCAAGCCCAGCCCTGAAAATTTGCTGCCCAAACCGAGCACCTCCTTGGCTGCTCGCAAATCTCTCGACGCTGCTGCTGGGCCCAACTCCGCCTGGAGGCAGGAAAAAGCCTTTGACCTTTTGGCTACGGTAACACGACCTTCAGCTGTAGCCGCTATCCACATACTCTCTACTGCTGCACAACCACGGGAGCATTGCAATGTAAGATTAAGGCTCAGGCTGGACACCTTTTGGGGTCCACCTGAGCTACGTGGGTCCGGGGCAGCCTGGTCCTCAAACCCAACGACAACTAAATCGAAAGGCAGCTATACCGAAGCTGGGCAAGAGTAAGAAGGCAAATGGAAGGGCCCAAATCCAAAACTTTGACTCATTCACCGCTGATTGAAACAGCGAAGCTTGTCGCGAAGAACTACCCAGAACTGCATCTGGACCATTCGAATCGTCCCCGGGATCTACCCGAACGTTCCCCTTCAACCCGCAACCGAAGTCCCGCACAACTTTTCCGGATCGAAATGCAAGAATCGTCCAGCTGCACGTGACGTAGCAACAGTGCCGATTTCCCCGCCTCAAGGGCTGCAGCACGCCCTCTCGCAACATCAACAAGCGAGGCGGCCTGGCGTACTCCTTACTAGTTTTTTACGGATCTCACTGGCACAAACATTCCCATTCAAGGTGCCACATCGTTGAATGCAGGCCAGGCTACATCGACGGGACGCTTCGGTCACGGGGAGTGCAAGAGACTTGCTGGTGAAAGCTAAGCAGGATTCAGAAAGGATAACTTCAAGATTCAATGCGTAACTTCTGTAACTGTCTTGCCGCCAGCGGCTCCCCACAAATGCAACGTTCCTCAAACCCTCGACGTTCTGTTTTGCGTTCCTGCAACCCCGGCCAGGCAAAGCAATGAAGCACAATGGAACAACCCGTAAAGGCTCGAACCAGAGTTCCCTCGAGAGCCCGCTTAAGTTTCCTCTTTAAGGGATATCCTCCCCTCCGGAACTCCTGCTGTTCAAGGAAATTCAGACAAAGTGCTGGAAAGCTTTGTCATGTGAGCGAGAAAGCTGACCCCTCCGCAACGCCTCCTCTTCTGTGTGGAAGGCCCCTCGGCAGACCCTGTCACTGGCACATCAGCTGACGCCATCCGTGATTGCATGCAGAAACCCCTTACACTTCTGAATCCGCAAATGGCCATGAGTGTGTGTGCTTGCAGACTCTTGCAGCCACCGCTTTCTGGCGGGCCGAGAACAAGTCCCCTTTCCTGGCCTCTTCGGCTGCGGCTCGAGCTCGGGCTCGAAGACGGTAGCGGCCTCGGTCCCAGATCCCAAAATCCGACAGGCCCGGACCCCGAAGTCTGGCGGTTCCCAGCCGAGGCGATGACAGGCTCTTGCTCCGAGGCCATGGTAGAGGGCCCAGGCTCACGGCTTTTCGGGTGGTGGGGGGGCCTTGAGCCGGTGGGAGACAGCTCCGCGGCGGCGCGGGGTTCGTGAGGCGAGCACCAGAGTCCACTGAGCCTGAACCTTACTGCATCAGAATTTGCATACATTGGCGCCCGCCTCATCCTTCTTCAGCTCGAAACCGTTCATGCGGAAGACCTTCCATATTGCATTTTTGTCCTCGTTTTTGAGGTGTACTTCCTCCCCTCCAAGTTTCGAAGGCCTGGCCTCCGCATGGGCCTCGGCCAGCTGCTCCTCGGCACGCGACCCCCCTAAAAAAGAAGCCCCCTGAAGGTTTGGACCGCCTCAAAGGACACAGACCAAGACCTGCCTGGGCCGGCGTCAGCTGCAACGGGTGAGGCGTCACCAGGGGCTGTCGATCGAGGCGAGTTTCGCGGTTCAGTGCCTGTTTCGAACAAAGAGGGGGAAACAACGGTGAGATGCCGACTGCCGTCAGGCGAGCATCTTAGGCCAAAAAGGGAGCATGTGGCGCACATGGCACCGGAATGTGCCTCTGGCCGTGGCTCTGGGACATCTTGGGAACCCTGGGCCTCGAAACGGAACTTCTCGTCAGAGGCATGCTGATCCACGATGAACAGCTGGAGGTCGCCTTCCAACAAGAGAACCGGGCAGCCAGCACTCTCTGAATCGGCCTGAGCTGTAGGCTGAAGGCTGGAACCCAGACCCAAGCTTTCCGCACCAGCTTCGATCCCACAAAGAACGCGTGGTTCGGACGTTCGAGCACTTCCGACATGCTATATTCCCTCAAGTTGAGTGGAAGCCTGCGGGGCTCAAAGCCTGCCCGCTCGCAGTAGCTTATTCTTCAGCGGCATCTTTCGTGCTCTGCCGGGAGAGAGACTGACGTCGGGGAAAACCCTGAACCGGTGCCCCCACAAACACTTGGACTGGTCGATCCATCGAGCCTGGCGGGTGACTCTGACCATCGTCCTGGCGACATGGGGCGGCGTTAAGATGTCAGGCATTCCGGAATGTGAGTCCAAGAAAAGAGGCGACCAAATTGGAAACTGCAAGTCGGCAGTGAATTCCCTAACCCCAAGTCGCAACCTGCTTCTGAGGCAGCGCAGCGATGATGAAGCCAAGGTTGAACCTCGCCAAAGCTTGCTGATTCCAGTGCAGCAGCAGCAGCAGCAGCAGCAGCAGCAGCAACAACAACAACAACAACCACCCACTGCTATTCCGATCTCCACTTGCTCTCTCCAGATTTATAAAACCCCTACGCAGAAGATTTGCAATGGATAGTTACCAAAGTATCATTCAAAGCCGTTCCGATAAAGAAAGCTCTGTCCCAGCAGCGGAACCAATGATCCTAGCCCAAATCTCCGTCCCATCCAAAAGTTACACTGGGCCCACGCTGGCCAATCACGCGCATCTTGGAAAAGCAGGTCTTGTCAAACCTCATCTCAAAAACTGTGACATATCTGAGAGTGACGTTATTATGCCGAACGTATGCATATGCCGCATGCCTGTGGTTGTTGATATGGAAGCAAGATGGCGTGCAAGCACGCATCGCCATTTTAAACGGTTGGATCTGAAGCAACACCTACTCTCGTGGTGTCGAACGGAAGGTCGCTTGTTCTCAGTAGGATCACTAGCACCTTTAGAGCAAAGAAGAAGGTATCGGGTTGGTTTATTGACCAGGCAGGAGGGCACCCATGATAGGTTTGCGATCACACTTGCACACTGAAAGCTGGATGTACAGGCGTCGTTGGCTTGGTCGAACTCCACCATAGGCAAACACGCGCACATACACTCGCGCACACAGGCACAAACAGAGACCCAGGCAGACAAAGCGCTTCTATGCTCTTGAGGCAGTCACCACAGGCTGCAAGCTGAAGCTTGACACCCCAAGAAACCGGAAGATTGAAAGGACGCCTCACCGATTCATTTGACGGGCAGGACACCTGAGATTGGAAACACCGCAGCTGGCAACTTCCTCCACGGACACGCCTGAAGGAGCGATGCATCTGTGCGTCCATGATGGCACACAACAAAAGTTTAAAGTTCAGGCTTCTTCTGGTGTTAGATGCCTGCACCTCGGCACTGCTCAAACGGGCCTCTTTACTTCGAAATCTCGACTCCGGCAGATTCGTCGGCAAGGCATGGACCCACAACTACCAATCTGAAGCTATACTGCCAAAGGCACAGGATTTGGGCTTGGAGGCTGCTGGAGTTGCAGGGTGCTTAGGCCTAGGCTTTCAAGCTCACGCCAAGACGGTGAACGCAGATCTGCGGACCATCCACCAACAAAGGGCTTACCCGAACACCGCAACACATAAACCCGTTGGGTTCCCTGTATGAGTAATTAGTCCACTGTGGCGAGCCGACGACAAACAGCGCACCTTCCCCGCTCCCGTGGCTGCCCAGCTCGGCAAGGGAGAAGGCCCTGCGTGCACACCGGTGAAACCAACAGTGTTGGTTCATACCCCTACGACCACCACAAACAGTAACAATACAAAGACGACCGCCACGACCACGACCCACGACGTCACGATACCAATACTTCTGCCCCGTTTGTCCTACTTCTTCTGCTGCTCCTGCTTCTGCTAGTTCTTGCCTGTCATCTTACACGGGGGGTGTCGCTCAGAGCAAAGACAAGGTACAGCAGCGAGCCTCCCTCGTAGGTTGTGTGAGAGACCGGGTTTTGACAGGTGTGTTCATGTTCAACTGTAGGCCACCAACAGAGGTATCCAGAAACATTCGATCATGCGCCCTCTTGCCTGAACCCTTAACACTGTTCATGCCATCTTCAACCCGACATGCCAGCTGATTGAGATGTCTGCGCATGTTCCGACAAGCCTCGGAAACTGCTTGCTCGAGGTAGTGGCTGTCCTTAGAGCCCGTGCTCGGCACTGAGCTGGCTGACCATACGCATAACCCTATCACCCTCTCAGCTCCCATCGCGTCGGAGTCCAGGTCTGGAGACGCCTGCCGGGTTAGGCGATAAGTCAGGAAGTCAGGAACCTTCAGCGGCTGCTATCTCTGCCCTTTCTTTCGTGAGCTTTTTGGTATAGTAGTCAATCGAGCGAGAGCTTCGGACCAGCAGCTCAGCCCAAGCCGGAATTCAGACGGTCGCTCCTACAGGATCAACCTTGGAGAGATCAACCAAAGATCTCACTTCCATCGACCTTGCAACTCATTCGTCTCGGCACATGTGGTTCAGTTGCCATCCCGCACAGAAGGCGGGAGATCTGGAAAGACCGATAAGACTGCATCATAGCCACTCGTCCCCAGTACACTCTCATGCTTTTTTGGGGTATTGCTCGAGTCTTAAGTCACTTCTGCATCGACTTTGCCACCTGTGCCGAAGGAGAGAGCTGCTAGACTAGCAGAAGGTGTCGCTGGTCATCTCTTGAAGACCGCCGCCAACTGCTACGTGCCTCTCAACCAAAGTGTTTCAGCAACGCCTGCTGTGCCTGTTCGTCGTCGAGCTCTTTTGATACCTTGTCGATCTGATCCTGAAACGTTTTCGCCACGTCGTCTTCGTGACGTGCCAGTGCAAGGTGGTGCTCCTGCGATGCTGATGAAAAGGAAAAGAACCCCAGGGGATTCTAAGAGGACGGGTCCCGTCCTGAACGAGGAAGGCCTTTTTGAGCTCGAGCTCCTGCAAATCCATGGAAGCCGCCTGCAAGGCGTACTTTGTCGCCTTGGACATCAGGGCTCCAGGCCCTGCCTTTTGCACGGCACCCGTTACATGGCCCGCCAGGAATCGGCTGATCAGGGCCGCGGGAGAGAAGCCCATGATCGTGGCATCTTGACTACCGCAGGCCAAGATGGTCAAGAGATCCGAGAGCCCGAAGAGGCCGTTCTTCACCGTTAACAAATGCACCTGAATCCCGGAGGTGTCACCCCAGTGGAGCCAGAGCCGGAAGAAGAAGAAGGGGAGCTCCAGGGTGAAGAGCGATCGCCAGGCATCCAGGAAGGTGGCCATGTGCAAGCGTTGGGTGTTCTCGTCCTTCTGGCAAAGGAAGCCAGTGTCGCCCCAGCCACTGCACCTCGAAGCACGTTCGGGTCATGAAGTACGGCCTAGTTCCGTCAGATCTGAAGCCGCTCTGAGAGCTGGACGTCCAGTCCAGTCGCGGTTGGTCGTGGGTCGGCTGCAGCTTCTCCAGCGGCACCCCAACCTGAAGCTCAGTGCAGATCACGGGAGCATTTCACAGGCTCAGAGGTGTGTTTTCTAAGCCCATCCTCCGTCTCACCATCATCGTCGTATTTCACCGTATATGTCGCCTGTCGATGGGATCAGCACTGACCGTGTCAAGGATCCTGTTGAAGGATATCCGAATTGGAAGGGGCCTCCTTGAGGGTCTTGTGAACTTACGGGACGATCCCCAGGGTCTTGAGCTGAAGTACAGTGCGCGGCTTTAGGACACAGTGTGCGGCCTGTGATCTACACCGTCCTCCTAGTTCCAGGTTGTGCTGTACAGGGCTCCCTTCTTCCATTGCCTTTACAGTTGCAGGATTCCTAAGCTGAAGTCACCGGGCCGCCCTCGCCTGCCCCTTCTCGCGCCACGCTTTGCCCTTGCGACCTGTTTGGACAAAGACCGACGCTTCAGGGTCATCGAGCACCAGGACACGAACAAAGTGAGGTTTCTTGTCCATCTCCGCCACCGCCTCCTGCCAGGGAAACCCCCCTGCCTTTGAGATCAAGAATCATGGCAGGGGCTTGGTCCTGGCTCTTCTGGAAGGCCTGCTCGAGAAGCTTCTCGGCCCCTGCTCTGTCAAGGACATTCACACGGTTGATGAGCCTCAGGCACTGAAGAGCGAAGTGGGGGGGGGGTTCGACTTAGGACCTCGGACCGTATACCGTTGATAAATCGGCTACAAGAACCGTCAGCTGTATATACATGCCTAGATTTGCTTGCGAAGCCTTTTTTCGGATGGAAACCCCGCAGCCAAAGTTGATCAACAGCGTTTTGGAGTGTTCTGGCATTCCAGGGAAGTGGATTGACGAACAAATTAGCTTTGTAGATCCCCACCCTGGAAGCCCGTCCCTCAAGATATGACTATACGGCCCCGGCTGAGAGAAAAGAGTGAGGGTTTTCTCACTGGGTCTATGAAGGATGCCCCCGGACACTACTCGTTCAGGGGAAAAGGTAGTGGTGCTGAGGGGTCTCGAGAATCGCCCAAGCGACTCATCGAGCAAGGACTCCTTGGTGGCTTCTGCCAGTTGCCCACTCTTTGAGGTCTTTCGCGGGTCCGGGCGGAACCATGTGAAGATCATGGGCGAGAGTACTGCACAGGTCGAGGCCAGCAACCTCAGCCACTAAAGGCTAAAGCCCAAACCTTTGAGGGTTCCTTCTTCATCTCAATGCCGCTGTGTATGCCTATGTGCGAGCGCAGGTCACTGATAAACCCCCATGGCCCCTGGTTCCTTGTGCAGCGGAAGCACCAAGTGTACCAGATCCACCTCTCAAATTGAGGCCGCACGCCCAGTGGGGAAGGCTTTCCACCCACCGTCAGGCCAAAGCTTGGCATTTGTATCTGCTCATCCTTGATGTTCCCGACAAACATGAAGCAGTCAAGGATGTCTAA